CTGAAAAAGAAATTGAAAGACTTCTACAACAGTTACTAAACACATTGAAAAAGGAGCTCAGAGAGGACATTCCTGTGCAAAGCAAGAGGCATCAGAATCCCTATTTCAAGTTATGTTACAAAGCTATGGTGACAAAAACAACGTGGTAGTAACACAAAATAGTCACAATAGAACAGAATAGAGGGGGTAGAAATAACCCGAGACCCATTCATCTGTATGTTCTTTGGCAAAAGGTTTATAAAAATGCTGGAGGAAAGATAGCCTGTATAATAAATGGTGCTGGGAAAACTGGTTATTTACATACAAAAGACTGGATCTAGCCCATATCTCTTACCATGTACAAAAATAAAATAAAATGTATCAGAATACAAATGTTTTGTTAAAAACACTTAATCTGCTGGAAGATCAGATATGAAACTCTTCAAGACAGATGCATATGCAAAGACTTTTCTGGACAGAACCCGATTTGCATAAGTTTTCCACTGCATTAAAAAGAACATCTTATTTCTTATGCCTTCTATTGCATAACAAAAAAGCCAAGAATCAACAAATGAAACTGTATCATTGAAAAATTTCTGCACAGCAAAGGAAACAGGCAATATGGTGAAGAGATAGCCTACAAAGTGGGGGATAAATTTTTCCAGCTCTTCAGTAAGTGGAGGATTCATATCTGGAATATGAAAAATACTCAAAAACTAGATCCCTTTGATAAAAAACCAATGAAAAACCTGGGCAATTGAAATGAATGGACACTTCTCAGATGATGTATAAATGGCCAACGAAGATATGGAAATAATATTTAGTGTCTATGGGTCTTAGAGAAATGTACAGTAGAACAACACAGAGATTCCGCTTACTCCAAAACAAGTTGATATCAAGAATCAAGCAATAACAAATGCTGGTCATGGTGGGAAGATAAAGAAATACTTCTACATTGCTGGCGGGAATGTAAGCTAGTATAATCACTATGAAAGATCAGTATGGAGATTCTCCAAAAAGCTAAAAATAGAAATTCCTTTCAATGCAGCAATTCCTCTTCTAGGTATCTTACAAAAAATGAAAGACATCAAATTACAGTGATATGGGTGTACTCATGTTTATAGCAGCACAACCATACTAGCTAAATCTTCGAAGTGGTTTGTATGTCTATAGACAGATGGCTCAAGAAAGCGTGGTATTTGTACACAATGGAATACTATTCTGCCACAAAGTAGGATCAATTTGAGTCATTTTTAGGAAAATGTATGCACATTATACTGGAATGTTATGTGAACTA